CACCAACAGTTACAAATAAGCACAAACAGAAAGGAACGAATCAAGGTCATTCCTGGAGGACTGCAGATGTGAAAGATTCATAAACCAAGCAGCTGCAAGTCCAGCTGGGGGCTTGATGGTGACATGAATAGGGCTGTGGGCATTAATTTGATGGGATGGCTTGATATTGCCCTTGCAGAAGAGCAACGAATTTAAAGCAAGCTCTGAAATTAGAAAATTAAACAAAAGCATATTGAATTGAACTGTATCTTTCTCTGGATCCTGCTGTCTGACACCTTTGGCATCCTTAGACTTCTCTGGGATGGATGCAATTAATTTTTTCAGTTTTTCAATTTTATTATTTTTATATGGACTATGGCACAACAAATTGTTATTTCCCTGAAAGCTACCAGTTAGCCAGGCATCAGGGGAAAAAAGCAGTGCTTTTGAGCTCATGGCAGAACAAGAGGAAGAAAGAGAAGAGATGGGAAGCTCCTGTCCCATCTGCACAGCAGCAAAAAGCCTCAGCTGCAGGCATTCAGAAATGCTTCCCAGGGTGGACCGTGGAATAGACAAACAAATCACAGAGGTACCGTCCAATTTAGTTGTCAGAAAAATCTGAAATTCTAGGAAGGCATCTTGCTTTCCTTTGACTTGCTATGCTTTTGGAAATGTTCCTTCTCAAAGACCCAGAGCATGTGGGAGCGATGCAGAGGACATCCAACAGTTCAACGGAGTGATGTGGCATACAACGAAAGCTGCCTCCATTATAACTTCCAAGCCAGGGTTTTACTCTAGAAAGCTGAGGCCAATATAGCTCGGGGAGTTGAGACAATGCAGTGACACACGGTCCTTAGGAAAGGACGGTGTTTCCTTAATCACTAGTAACTTGGATATTTTGATTTGGTGATTCCTTAATCACCAGGAACTTGGATATTCCTGGTCATCCCAACTTCATTTCTTTAATCATCCACACACCTTCCAATCTACTAGAAAGTTTACATCTGATTACGAATTTACTGCTGGATCAAGTAATGAGATAAGAGGCACTCTTGAGATAAACCTGTTCACTTTACTTAAAACTATGAAAAATATTCAAAGAACTAGAAGTCACTAAGCCTCCTTTTCAGTTTGAGGTGCTGCATAGGAGCAGAGCAAGACTGAGAGCAGGCGAGCTGGACCTTGACTGTGCCTTGCTGAGGAAGGCAGAGGTTCCAGTTACTGTCCAGGGACAATCACTGCTTTCATGGCAATTTCTGCCCCATGAAGGTCTGATGGAAGCTACAGACGTGCTCCAGCAAGACAGGCCTGTAACACCCCTTCTGCCCCTCCTCAGTGGGAGCCAAGCTGTCTTACCTACACTTAGTCTCTAATTCCTGTCTTTCCCGATATGCTTTAAATCAGGTCCAGCAGCCCCCAACTCACCCCCAAAATGCTCCAGTGTTTGGTGAACAAAGCATTATCCTAAAAAGCACTAAGGATCCAAGCTCCTTCAGGTATTAAGAGGATCTGAAACCCATGTCCTGGACAAGCGGTTAACCCCCAGCTATTATGCTAAAGGCAAAAGTACTGAGTCCCTTTCCTTTGTAAAATAAGTCAGCCTTGCTTCATTAGGTGGTCACCTCCAAAGAGGACACAGTGGTCTGGGAAGCACCTTCAGCAACTTTAACAACTCTTTCCAGCAAAGTCAGAAAGGGAAATGTAAGAGCTTAAATAGGTGGGCTGAGGCACCTCCCCAGATGCACCAGCCCCTCCGCCCTGTTGACAGGGAACTCAAGGCTTCAGAAAAGTGTTTTTCATTTAAAAAACCGTGTCTTCCAATATGACTTTCTGTACTTCAGGAGACCTTCCTCTCCTTCACAAACATTTATAATAGCTGAAGAACACTAATCGTCTTTAGCTGTACAGGGAAGCTCCGTTTCTCCAGGGATGGGAAGTGGGAATTGGTTACAGCTATTGGGAGGTAAAAATAAATCCTCCCTGCCCTGAAGGAACTGACTGCTACTGGTACTTCAAGTACTCATCAGTTTGGGAGATGTCTGAACGTGCCCTTGTCCCATGGATGGAAAACACTGCTTCAGGACCTTGATCTCCGTCTTCCCTAGCTCCCTTCCCCAAAAACAGGTGTATAAAATTCAGGCAAGGCAACACTTACTTTAACTACTGTGCACACAGCATTAAGGTGGGCATGAGGATCCCATATTATGTTTTATTTTTTTTCCATACGTACTAGACAGGGATTTGTGACAGAAGAGAAGGAGGGGTGTTTGCTCTCACTGTCACTTCTACAACACTTAGCTGCTTATTCATAGTGTCATTTCTCTAACACTATTGCTATACGGACTGCAATATATCACAACATTCATAGCAAAAAGTACTGTGCATCCTTGTTTCTCATTTATTACAAGTACAGTATTTCAGAGGAAGTGGCATGTCTCATTAAAAGTGACTGAAAAAAATATTATAAATGAAAAAAACCCAACAGTCTATCAAAATCTAAGATTAATACATCTACCCCAAATAAAACCACTAAATTTATCAACACTTACAAATGCTTTATAATCGCATGATTGGAAGATAAGTTTCTCTGGATGATGTTGCCAATATTGTACAGGCGTTGATGCTGTGGCTTCATTTGGAGGTCGCAAGGTAATTGAAGGCTCTCCCCAGTCTCCTGTCTGAAAATCACAGTTGTTTGAGATATAAGAGAAGTTGCAGGCAAATTTGCTATAAAGTAGCCATCCGTTGTTGTGCTCAATTAACAATTTATTTTCTACACATAGAGCCACATTACTAAAATAATGGAATACAACTCCTACAACATTTTTCATTGGATTTAATTTATAATTCAAAATCATCTACTGTAGTGTTTAATGAGGCTTTAATTAAATCTATTGCTTTGAGAATAAAATCATTAGGCACTGGAAATGTTCCTTAAAAATAACTGTTTACAATACATACATGATGATGAGAGCACTTGAAAAAAAGTCATGAGATGCACAAAAATGCCATTCACAAATTCCGCTATGTGTTTTACAAGCTTTTCTACACAGTTAATGTGTCTTCCATTATCCAGCACATATAACCGATAACTAACTTTTCTAAATGGCTAAACAACTGAGACTTTGCTTTGATCTGAAGACTTATTATACATTCTTCAAATATATGAGGCATTCTTTAATCTCTTTACGAATATTTACTTTGATCACTTTCTCTCGATGTCTCATTGTAGACTTACTAACATTGCCCTTCCACATTCATCATTCTCATTGATACAGGTGATTGCCTTCCTGAGCTGTCATCTCCCCTCTTTCCTCAAAGCCCTCAGAGAACACGGGTAGGACTGCAGTTTGCTGCCAAATCCCTTTGCAGGACACTCTTCTCCCTTCCAAAAAGAGCCAACACAGGCATCGGTACAGGAACGCCCCCAGCATGGCAGTGCTGGTCTGGGTCTCACCTGCCATTGTGTGTTTTCCGACATGGCTTTATTGGACCCAGACTGACCTCTGGGCCCTTGGGGGCTCCTTCCACCTCACAGGCCATTATTATTTTGAGGTTATTTATTTTTTAACTGTGATCTCTCCTACTTTTGGTTCACATGCACCCACGCTGCCCATGTCCTCAACATGAGGGATGCTGCCAAACCAGCGTCAGCTCACTTTAACTGAAAATGACCCATGGATGGAATTCTCCTCTTCCCAAGCCCTCAACCCTCTGTCCCCAGTCCCACTTCTCCCCTCCCCTGTCTGGTCTGGACTGTCTCTGAATTTCCCTCTCCTGTCCACTCTGTCTTTTGGAGATCAGATTTCTCCTTTCTGATCCTCCTTCCTCCCCTGCTTGTTCTCTCTCAAACTATTTTACCCTCTCCTATATGGTTATTTCAATTTGGATTATGCTGCTTCTTTCTTTACCTGCACTTCTCTCTGTGTATTTTCTGTGCATGTCATATTGTTAAAATATGTGTTGAAGCTGGCAAGGAATTGCCATCAGCATTTCACACAGAATATGGCTAGAAGTTAAGATTTTTAAAGCAAAAAGAAGCTAAGCATCAAAAACACATGAAAAAATTCTTATCGAAGACATTCAAAAGTCTGGCGAACTATCACATCCTACTAATTAAATCAGGACAGAGTAAACAAAACAAGTACATCATTTTCATGTGTCACAAAATAATGAAATGACACACATTTGCACAACTCTGCAATGAAAAGCAAGAGATAAATCTGGAAACATCAACATTACCCTGCCGATATGGTAACTTCAAGCAAGTGAACATCATAAAACAAGTCGAACCTAGCTAATGTTGGCACTATTAGCACATCTACAAATTATACAGTATTGTATTTTCTGTTTTGCCTAGTTAAGTTGCATATATGCTATAGATATGACTTCAACCTCAGATTTTGAAAGGAAAGCAGCAGGAGCAATTGCTCCAATTTTTGGCATTCTATATCCACAGAAATTAATCCATCTGACCACTAACGTGTAAAAGCCTTCTATCATATTTAACCTGAAGTGGGAATTTGATTTCTTTAAGCAGCAGTTCTCCTTATAAAATAAGGTTTCAATCATATTACAAGGGGTAAGGATCTGCACCCTTATTAGTGGAGTTTGTATTTGACTACAAGAGAAGATGGATCGCACCCATCACAAATTCTCACGGTGAGCTCAGCTGTCTCTTATGAACCGTTCATGGCCACAGCTAACAGGCCATTTGAAACAGTCCTTCTTTTCCCTAATAAAGATATACTCCTGCATGTTCTGTGTAAGGAAGTAGATCTCAGGAGGTCATCCTATCCATTTAGCAAAAGGTTACCACGATGGAATAGGAGTAAATTCAGGACGGAGAAGCTATGAAAGTATGCCTTTTGACCACCAGTCTTTCCACCAAGGAAGTATGGGGATGGCTGTGAGATAGGACCAGAATTTTTATGGAATAAGTGACCCTGGGTAGTGCTCCTGCACTGGTCTGCAGGTGACTTTCCTCACATGCAGAAAATGGACAGTATGGACAAATTAAGCAGGGTACGTAAGGAGTGAAATGAATACATAATTTTACAGTTTGACTCGCCTTTACATGAAACATATTAAAACCACGGAGAATCGCATTGTTTCTGTCTGTAAATGAAGGGCAGTAACAAGAGGAACAGTGATTACCACTCATATTGATTCAATTTTATAAAGGAGCTAGGAAGCAATAATCACGAGAAAATCAGAAATAATCTTCAACCAGGCTAATAAAACTAGTGTATGAGACACTTAGAGAGGGACTACATGGAGACCATTCATTTGCATCCATTAATTGCTCTATAAATATATACAATCATCCTAGTACCTACTCATTTTAAATTAGACAAAACAGAATTGATATGACTGCTGTACATGTCTCTAGGATGATCTAAACATGCAATACAGCTGAGGTTAAGGGAACGCAGAGACACAGCATTTCTGCTGTTCCTGGCGGACCACTGCACCCGATGACCTTTCATGTATTTCAGTGTGTCTTGTAGAGGGAGCAGCTACTAAGAAAAGCTGCATAAAATTAAACATCTTAGGTATAGATTATTATGATCGATGAAGACGACATGTTATACATAGTCATAACGTTTTTTAATATTCAGCAGAAGTGGCTTCTGGTCTCCTTTCCTTTTGTTTCTTACCAAACTCCCTAGATTTTTAAACCATACTATTGCTATTATTCATTACCTATTTAGACTGAGTTATAACAGGGTAGTCTCCAAAGCCTAGATCCATGAAGATGTTTAGAAGTGTAATTCCTATTACACATTCCCCATGCAATTTCCTTTCCTTTTTTTTTGTTTTTGTTTTTGTTTTTTTTTTAAAGGGAAGAAAGGATTTTAAACAAGATTTAGACAGCTAAATACTTTCATAAATCTGGGCCTAAAAACCTCTACAGGAACAAAAGGAGCTCCTCAGTTGACTGACTCTAGTCAGATACTGAAATTCTGAAATTTAGGATGTGATGATGGCAATTAACTTCAGGTAAAATACAAAGTAGGAACATCTTTGACCTAGAGAAGATTTGAAACGACAAGCCTCAAGTCTGGGGTAGAAAAATATGAATTACTATTAGTTCTAAACATGAGGAATTGGTGTTGGAACAACTCACGAGTGATGTATTGAGATTCAGGACCTTCATAAGCACCTAAAACACTTCCAGCAGTATAGAGATGTTCGTAAATTGCCGTGCAGGACCAACTATGGTGTTTGATTTCATTTTTAAAAATAGATATGATAGGATAAGGATTTTCTGATTTGAATATTTAATTTGCAATTACAAGAAATAATCAAACATTTAAGCTTATGTATTTTTTATGACACAATATACGTATGGAGATTTTTATATCTCTGATGAAGTAGAAAGGCAAGAGATAATTTATTCCTCATCTAACTTTACAGCTCATCAGACAGCTGTGCAATTTATCCCGTGGTTTTTGCTGTACTGCCTGTGTTTTAGTATTCTAACCTCCCCATGCCTTTAACCAGTGCCTTTCCTCTCTCTGGCATCAGTCACATTGAGAAAGAAGATTTTTTTGCTCCACATTTTGCAGATAAAGAATTTACAGTCACCAAATGGTCTCAAGTCAGGTGCCAGAGTTGAAAAGCTTCAATCCTTGTACAGTGACGACTTTTAACCATAAAGGTCATAGCTTTAAAGACCAATACCTCATGCTCTTCCATCTTCATAACCCTGAAAATGGGCAGATGTGCACTTCTCAGTGCTCTAGAAAGGGTCAGATACTTGACGTCAAATGAGCTACAGAAGCAGATTACTGCTATTAGCTAATTTTTTACAATTGTTGCACATTTTTCTATCTCATCCCATTCTCTGAGAACTGTATTTGACTCACATTAAAGGCACCTGGATGCAGAGGTAGTCACAGGTGAGAAGTAATCTCAATACAACTTCTATAAAATCTAACACGTGCCTCATCTTTTTATAAAAATGTCAAGTTAAAAACCCTCCATGCTACAGGGAAAAAAAAAAAAAAAGGCCTGGTTGTGAGTGGCTTAAATGTAGTCATTTTTAATAAGGACCACATCTTATGGTCCTTATATCTTTTCACCTGTTAAAGCCTCCTGCCTAGTTATGGTAACATGCATTAGTCACCATGACAACAATAAATCGGAGCACACATAGATACAACACTTCTGGCTGAAAAATTAGTAATTTTCTCCCTGTAAGAATTTTAAATGTTCTGTGGACCAGCCAAATCCTCATGATTTGCTTACGTTTTAATTCCTAGAGCGAGAGAATTTTTTTTAGCTCCTCGTATCTTTGGCTTTTGAAATAATGGAAACAGGTTCATGGCGTACTTACATTTTAAAAGCTTCTAAAGCTCGGTAGCCAAAACAGCCCCTCTCTGGTAGAAATGCTACAAGGAGGCAGTTATATCCAAGAAATTAGGAGAAATCTACAGCTCCTCTGAAATACTATGCTTAGCGAAATCTGGACAACTGGCTGTTGTCCTTACCACACTGCAATACAGATCACCAGGTTTGCTCTCACGTGCACAGCAGATGTGCCTCTGTCACAGAAGTGATGAAAATTCAGAGCACCATCAGCATTACCTCTAATTCTCCCAAAGCGCCTCTGCAAACACGGCGTGCTCCTCAGCTAGGCAAAGCCCGTAGATTAACACAGAAAGGGCAGCAC